TGAGCCGGTTGACTGCCATCGACTATGCCGTGAAGGACAAGAGCCTCTACTTCGCGGAGGCGGGTGGCAGCTCTATCAGGCTGCTGCGCCTGAAGGACTCGGGCCGACTCTCCTGGAAGCGAGCGGTGGCCCTGGAGGGCACAGTGCTGTCCCTGGCGCTGGACTGGCCCAGTGGCAACCTCTACTGGATCGGGGGGCAGCCAGCGCGGCTCAACGTGGCAGGTACTGGGGGGCGGCGGCGCTGGGAGCACCTGCAGGGTGTCCGTGCGGGTGCCCCACTCCTCTAACGCCTTCTCCCTGCAGAGAGGGGAGTGATCAACAGCGTGGAGCTGGACGGCTCCCACTTCCGCGTGGTGCGGGAAGGGCTGCATGGCCTCACGCTCTTTGCCATCGGAGAAGGCTTCCTGCTCTGGACCACGGCGCCCACCAATGGTGAGCCTCAAGGTTGGGTGCTGCTCTCCCTGATGGTCCTGGCCATCTCACAGCCCCACAGGGACCATCACCTCCCACGGGCGGAGATGGGGACGTGGTGGCCCTCGCATGTCTCCAGGCTCCACCAAGGTGTGGCACAGCCGGCTGGAGCGGGCCGAGAGCTGGTGGTTCCCTGTGGAGCAGGAACTGCTGGCTGTGAGGATCTACAGCCCCTTCTCGCAGGGAGGTGGGTCTGCGGCTGCTGTGGCGAGGGTCACGCCAGGCACAACAAGCCTGTCCCTGCAGAGTCCCTGCAAACTCGTGCTGTCCCGGCAGGCACCCATGGCTGCGCGGAGGGCAACGGGGGCTGCGCGCAGCTCTGCCGCCCCAACGCCGCAGGGCGGCAGTGCCGCTGCTCGCACGGCTACCGCCTGGTGCGTGGCGCTGAGTGCGTGCCGGCGCCGCCGTGCCCGGCCCCGCTGCAGCCCTGCCGCGACCAGCAGGGCTGCTTCTCTGGGGAGCAGACCTGCGATGGGCACCCCGACTGTGCTGACAGCTCTGACGAGCTGGGCTGTGAGTACCTGCCGTGCTGGTGGCGTGCGGGACCCTGGAGGAGCACAGCAAAGCTGGCCCAGGCTGGGATGGGAAGCCCATCGTTGAGGAGGCTGGCCCAGGTTGAGCAGGGGAGCCCACCATGAAGTAGGCTCGCTCGACCTGGCCCAGATTGGGAATGGGAACCCACCACCCCAGGAACTTGTCCAATCTGGCCCAGGTTGGGAGTGGGAACCCACCATTGAGGAGGATGGTCCAGCTTGGGAATGGAACCCAACATCCTTGAGGCTTGTCCAGGCTGGGCCAGGTTGGGAAGGGGAAGCCACCATCGCAGAAGCTTGTCCATTCTGGCCCAGGCAGGGAAGGGGAGCCCAGCTTAGGGCTCCACTGAGCTGTCTGCATCCCTGCAGGCCCCTCTGCAGCGGTGGAGAGGCAGCTTCCCACAGCAGCCCCACGGCCAGGGGCACCCCGCATGGAAGGAAAGGAGACACCAGCCTTGCCTCCAGCTAGATCCAGTGCTCGACCGTCTGGCCCCAGCCCGCCGGCAGTGCCGAACCCCCAGGAACCCTTCCTGGCGCCCCCGAGCACCGAGGAGGTGCTGGGTGCCGTGCCGTGCAGCAGCGAGACGTGCAACCTGCGTGGGGAATGTGCTGTCGAGGCCGGGCGGGTGACCTGCCACTGCGCACTGGGCTACCGCGGTGACTACTGCGAGGAGGCAGAGGTGCAGCCCGTGGGGGGTCCCATGGCCCTGGGGGTGGCCGTGCTCCTGCTGGTCAGCGCCGCCTCCGTGGGGGCCCTGGCCTACATGAGGAGGAGGGACAGCCGGAGGAGGTGAGCTCTGAGACTGGCCCAGCCTGGGCTGGGAGATGGAGAGGGATGGGGACCTTGGGGGTCTGCCCCATCTCCACGAGACGCCATCAGGGGACCTGCCTCTCCCCAGGACCTCCAGCACCGCCTCCACCCGAGTGCTGACCCTGTACCACCGCGAGAGCGACCCTGAGGAGGAAGATGAGGAGGAGGAAGAGCTTCCCCCCAAGAGTGACACCTTTGTGAACGAAGCTTATGATGGGAAGGAGGTGAGCAGCCCTCGGGCAATGTCCTGGTGCTGGAGCAGGTGAGGTGTGGGGCCTGGGGAGGCCAGCTCAACCCCAGCCCTGACGCACCTCTCTGTGCTCTTTGCAGGAGCTGCCAGCCCCACTGGGGAAGGGACCATCTGGCTCCTGAGGCCGCTATTTCCATAAAGGAACGTTGTGCAGCATCTCTGGTGCCGTGGTGTTGTGCGTCCAGCCTGGGGAGGATGGGGCTTACGGGTCAGTTTGCCCTTCCCACGCCTCCAAGCTCCGGGAAACCTAGAGGCCAGAGCAAAACAGTTTTAGGAGGTCTTTCAGGAGGTCTCGAGTGCCAGCACCTTCTCTGAGCAGCCCAAACCCGGCACTCTGCTGCAGGGGACACACCAAAGGTATCTCCGTCCATGGTCCCCCTGCATCCAGGCCTAGCTTGCTGAATAGGGTGCTCTGGGTGCCAGAAATCTGGCCCAGCAGCTCCCACAGAGTGGGAAGTCAGCAAAAGGCATGATGAATTGGCTGGGAGCTGCCACATGCCACATGGATCTGTCCAGCTTGCCCTTGCCTCTGGGTCAGGACTGACGGCCAGACTAGGATAGGTCACAGTGCTGGTCATAGCAGCGTCCTCCCAGGCAGCAGTATGACCTGTCCTAGCTGTGGCCATCGGACCTGACCAAGAAGCTTCCTGTTATCAGCCACATCCCCAGCAGCTGGATGCACTCCTGCTCCGGTTCCCTTGGGAAGGCTGCGTTGAGATGGCTGCCAGTCCCAGAGCTCTTGGAGCAGTGGGGGTCCTGGTGTCCCCAACAGCAAGGTGTCCCTCAGGAAAAGCTGGCAGGAGGGAAAAGCAAGGTGTCCCCTAGGAAAAGCCTGTGTTTTTTCCGCTCCGCAGTGGTTTTATAGCCCGCTCTGCTCTCTAGGTGTCCCTTGGAAACCCGCAAGACCAGTTTTACTGCCTCGCAGGGGGAAGTGCGGGTTATTTTTCTCTGCCTCTGTGCTCCCGGAAAACTCTACGCTCGAGGAAGGAGAAACCTCCCGGGCTGACGGCAACTGACCGTGCAGGGAAGAGC